GCGGAAAGAAAAATTTTTGTAGAACTCTCTTATTCATAGGAGGGAACCGAAAATCCAATCGTTGGCCTTTGGCATATCATGAAGACGAATTGAGTTCTAGAGGATGTTCGGTGCAATGTTATCGAAGCAGAACCGTTACCGAAATTTATAAATTTTTTTGTCGGAGCGCGCAAATGACTTATAGAAAGCGGAGAAGACTCTGCATGATATTACTATAAAACATTTCTTCTAAATTTTTAGTATTTTTTAAAAAAATATTTTCTTAATTTATTACAACCAAAGTTATGTACATATGTAATACTAATTTTCCTCCCAAACTAACAAATATATAAAAATTCCTAAAAATACGAAAATTCATGTTTTTATGATAGGCTAGATTTCAATGTCCTCAACTGATATTGAATACACAAATGTCATTTGACTTATGGCGTGTGAATTTGTGGTTGCCACATCCAACAAATTGTACTTATTGATCAATATTATTGAAGATTTGGCGAAGATTTAACTTAAATCTACCGCCTTTCGAGATTTAATTTTATATGGTAAATCTCAAAAGATTTAACGCCAAATCTCGTCAGAGGGCTAAATCTTCATTAAATCTCAAAATGGAGACATAGTATTAGGGCCAATTTCAAATCGCCTATTTAAATACCGATTGATGATTTTTCATTTTTAGATGAAATATTTAAACTGTATTTAAATGCCGCATGTCGGCTATTTAAATATGGAAAATGCAACCCTGCTTTTCGACTAAACAGCAGCTGATTACTCAAAATAAAATATAAATAAGTAAATAAAAGGCAAAAGTTATTCAAATTAAATACTATTAAAATGAGTACGAGTGACGAAAGTGACATGGAATGCGAGGTTCTAGAGCGCATCATTATAACGCGACGTCCACGGTATATAAGGGATGCGCCAACCCGTTTCAGAGACTTCGACAAGAAGGATTTCCGGGACAGATTTCGTGTAAGCAAAGCGTCAGCATGGATGGTGTTAAGGATGATACGGGAAAAATCCAACATAAAATTACATGGTAAACCCGATTTAGAGGAATTGTGTACTGCTTCTAATGACTTTTACTCCAGGAACAGTGCTCTAACTCCCGAAGAAATGCTTCTGGTCACTTTGCGATTCTATGCCACGGGTTGCATGCAAAGGACTGGAGGGGACTTAATCGGAGTTTCTAATAGCACTACTTCCCGAGTCATAAGGTTGGTTTCGCACCACATAGCTGTATTACGAGCGCAGTTTATTTCATTTCCCACAACTGCAGAAGAGCAAAGACGGCTGCACGAAAAGTTTTATTTAGTAGGGAAATTTCCTCGCGTGGTAGCGGCTTTAGACTGCACGCATATAAAAAATAATATCACCAGGTCAGTGTCAGAAATTGAAAACTAATAACCAAATTCAACAAAAATTAAATAGTTTTGAATTGCTTTGTAAATAGCAAAGTTCTGTTCTTAGGGAAATATTTAGCTATTTGTACAACGATTTTGGTGTGAAGGCGGAGGGGGTGGAGCGTGCCCCCACCCCCCAAACCTCCCATAAAAGAAAGAGGATGGACCGCACTATATGAAAAGTAACCCCCTCCCTCTCACATTCCCACATACCCCTTTGGGAGCTGTTTGAAGATAGGGAAAATTTGGATTTTTTGCAAAGGAAAACCTTCGGGCGCGCTTAGGAATTATAAAGTAGAATTCTTCTTTCTGTGTTGCCAAAGAATAGGGGCTGAACACCGTTTTTTTAATAAACTGTAGACTCTTGTCTAGAAGCGTGAGTAAAAGTTTCTTGATTTGGGTCACGAGTTTGGGTACAGAAACCCGAAATCGTTGTACACATAACTAAACTGTACCCTGTACTTATACGTATGTATACATGTACTTTTTATAGGAGGTCATGATGCGGAGTTATACCGGAACAGAAAAGGGTTCTTTTCGTACAACGTACAGACTTTATGCGACAGCGACTTAAATATATTAGATGTAGTAGCTAGATGGCCTGGTTCCACACACGATGCCACAATACTTCGAAACTCGCGCGTTTATAGTCGCTTCGAAGGGGGCGAATTCGGAAATTCATTGGTTGTTGCAGACAGCGGTTATCCCTGTAATCAGTGGATAATGACACCGATATCCAATGTTCGTAGTCCGGCAGAAGCGCTATATAACGAATCTCAGATTCGAACGAGGAACTGCGTCGAGCGATCCTACGGCGTGTGGAAACGAAGATTTCCGGTTCTTTCGGTGGGTATAAGGCTGAAGCATTATTGTGGCAACAGCGGTTCTCCACAATATTTGCAATCTACATAACGAAATATGCCATCCTTCTTAATTAACCAAAATAGTACGAGTAATATTAGAAGACAATTAATTAATAATCACTTTCAAAATTTGTAGGGCAAATATTGTATTGTAAATTTACAAATATTGTAAGGTCGCACACATATTCTTTTGGTCATGGTGCACATCGGTGCACAATCGTTAAGATATAAAATATTAAATGAACTTACTATTAATAAAAGCAAAGCCAAGTAATGTTTATAACAAATTTGTGTACTTTTAATTAATATAGGAACTTATGTAATTACATGGAACAAAGGTGATCAAACAAATTCAGTCAAATCATTTCACAAATCTGTGGTATTTTATTGTTAAAACAACTTACATAAATAACTTACTTTAAAAGGCTTGACTTTGAATCCCCAATGAAATATTGGGAAACCAATGAAATATTGATTAAAATGAAGAAGAGCCTATATCGAAATGACTTGTTTTAATAAAATGCCACAGATATATTTGGAACTTAGAAAAAATTAAGAAAATATACCCCGTGTCCCGTTCTCTTATGTTTAAACATTAATACATCAGCCCCGGGCAAAGAATTGTGCAGAGAATTTTTCGCAATGTATAATAATAGTAATAGATTGGCGCTTACACATATGTTAGTGTTTGGCCGAGCTTCTCCTCCGATTTGTGGTGTGCGCCTTGATGTTGTCACACAAAGCGGAGGGACCTACAGTTTTACGCCGACTCCGAACGGCGATTGTATTTTTATGAGAAGCTGTTTTTCATGGCAGAAATACACTCGGAAGTTTGCCATTGCCTGCCGAAAGACGACCGCTGTTAAGAAAAAACCTTTTTTCTATATTTTTTGCGACGTTGCTTTGACCAGGGTTTGAACCCAGGCGTTGCGGAGTGGAAGCGCGCACTGCTTACCACTACACCACAGCGGCCAAAATTGCCAAAAATCAACGCGATTTTTTAGCAACTTCAAACTTTCAATTTGTATCTTTAAATTTATTGGGCTATAAAACTGCATACTCAGAATTTTTCTAAAAAATCTGATTAGAAAGTTGCAAATTATTATGCAAATTTATTGACTTTTCCTGGGTTTTTCAGAAAGTTTAGATATTTTATTTTTATGTTTTTTGTTGTAGTATTAATTATATTTTTATAAAAAATTTGCGGAAATAATTTAGAATAAAAACCATTGCATACATTGCGAAAAATTGTTTGTACAAATACTTGAGTCCAAAACCCTATGTATATGTACTCTTGTGGTCAGCTGATTAAGTCAAGTAACATTTTGACTAGTTTTGACTATTTTTCTTTTGTTTGTTTAATGGAAATTTTTTTTTATAAAAGTTTAGCACTTTACCTAACCAGCGCCACATAA